TCTTCTGCGCCTCCCTCCACGCTCGGCGCTCCTCCACCTGCGGCCGAGGGGCGCCGCCACGTGACGTGACGTGGGGTGGGGGCAGTCGTGGGGGGGCGCGCAAGCATGGAGACTAGGAATCCATGGAGTTGGCTCGCGGTCGCCAAATCCATGGATCGGGGGGGCGCGAAAACATGGACTAGCGACCGATGGATTTGGCTCGCGGTCGCCAGATCCATGGATCGGGGGAATTGCCCTCCCCGAAAGGCGGCCAGTGCCGCCTCGTTCGGCGGCGGCAATCTGCGATTTCCCATGGAAACAGGACCCGTCGCTAATCCACGCCCCCTTAATCCATGTTTGCGATCGCCTGAATTCGGGCGCGGCCAAACCGACCCCTTAGCAAACCATCCCCCTTCCGGGACGTCATCCTCGCCTTTCAAGCTCCCCTGCGGCCGCATACATGCGTCTTGGGGCGAGGCGAGGGGGACGTCACGGAAGGGGATCGCTTGCTGGGGGTCGGTTAGGCCGCCCCTGAGGCATCTGTCGACGGGGGTGGGGGCCGTCGGAAACTCCTGCCTGGATCCCCAGGTCGTGAATGATTCATCCTGCTGGCGCCGTTCGGCGGCGAGCCTGGGGGGAAGTGGGAGGGAGCGGGCCTTCTCAGAAAGCGGCGGAGCTCCTCAGGAGCCCTCCAACCTTCTGTGAAGCCGCCTCTGTCTTCGGAGAAGGCTCAAACACATTCTCAGAAGGCCGGAGGCCTTCGGTCTCACATACTTTCTGAGAAAGTGGGGACACCAAAAGGTACCGATACCGCTACTCCCAAAACTTCTCCCAGGGTGCGTTCTGACCAGGATTTCGATGCGAATCCAGCGATGACGATGAGGACCTCCCAGGCGGCCTAAAAGAGGGAAAATGGGCGAAGGGTAGCAGATGGGTACCTGTTCCTCCTCTGAGTCTGCGGAGGAGGAGGAGGAAGAGGAGGATGATGGGGTGGGGAGAGTGGAGGAGGAGGAGACGGAGGAGGAGGAGGAGGAGGAGGAGGAGGAGGAGGAGGAGGAGAGCCCACCCTCCTCTGACTTCCCCCAGCTTCGCCGCCGAGCTGTTCCTCGGCCTCGGCCTCCCGGTCTGGGCCCCTGGGGGTCGTCAAGCAAGCAAGGCTGTACTGTTTGTCTGACGGCCTCGGTGGCCCGATGCACGCCTCTCGCTCGGGAAGGCTTTCGAGCACACCAGATGTGAAGGGGCCCAAGGACACACAAATATCCCAGGATTCACTATATTTCTCCATACGTTACGGAGATTCGTCTGCCCCCCCCACGTCCCATACCTTCCCATATGATCCTGGGAATCGACAATGATTTGCGTCCGTGTTTTCCCACTCCTGACAATGTTTCAGTTCCAAGGGTTCGGCACCTATGAAGTACAGAGCGAATTGCTTGTGCATGGGAAAGGCCCGATGGGTCTGGGCGCCTTTTGCAAAACAAAAGCAGCAGTCCAATGTCCCAGTAAAACAAATCTGCTGATTTGGTGCGCAGATGCAAAGCAAGCCGGACAGGACAAAAAGGGTCTGTAGAAAAGAGTCGTCGATCGATCGGATGTAATTTGACCTTCGCATTCGATTGCACGCTGCTTTCCTGCGAGTTCTCTATCCCAACGACTCGCGGACACGGTGATTCCCAATGCCGCATCCACGCAGCTCGCGACCTCTTCCGCGGGGACCACTTCTCGTTCAGAGCAGACCCTTGATATCTGAGAGACTACGAAGATGCATCGGCGATGCATCGGCGACGTCGGCGGTGCATCGGCGACGTCGGCGTGGGGAAACACGGGCTCCACATCGAGCCGCATCGCCGATGCATCGGCGATGCGGCTTGATCCTCCGACCCCATCTGTACCTACTTCCTACTTTCAACAACCGTCGGTGAGACGTACGACTCGGGTACGGGGGACTCGGGTTGGCCTGACAGGGGGCCATCATCAGAATGACGAGGCCCAATCTAAAACCCGACGCGGGCTCCCGCTGCGGACATCACACGAAAACGGGACCGTCAACATCCGGGACGCGCGCGTCAAAAAAAAAACACGGCAGACCCGAGTTGCGGCCTGCTCGAGCCTTGCGTTTCCCCGAGACCCGGCGGGCAAACGCGAGCCGCCGGCCGGGCCTCCATCTTCTGCCGCCGGCGGTCCTCCTCCACCATGCGGCGGAGCTCCCAACGCTCCCTCCGGCGCTCCTGCCCGCGGGCGCGGGGCGGGGGGGGGGCGAAGGTGGGCCCTTGGGGGGGGGGAGGGAGGGAGAGAGGGAGGGAGGAAAAGAGGGAGGGGAGGGAGGGGAGGGAGGAGGAGTAGGAGGAGGATGATGAAGAAGAGGAGGAAGAGCAGGAGGAGGAGGAGGAGGGGGAGGAGGAGGACGAGGAGGAGGAGGAGAGCCAGCCATCTCCTATCTCCTCCATCTCCCTCGCTAGCAGGACATCATGGTGCATGCCCCCCCTCCCCCTCTCGGATATCTGCCTGTCCACCTACCCTGCTGACTCTCATTGCTGATATGAGTTGGTGACCCCTGGAGCGGTGCTCCAGGGGTCACCTGGCCCTCGTTTGATCAACCCCAGGGCCGACGAGCCCTAGAGGGGGGGAGGCTACGCCTGGGAGAACATTGCAGCCAGCAGGTGCCAGGTGTCAGGAAGAGGGAGGTCCACTCTGGCATTGTTCGCCGCGCTTGCTTCTTGCAAAGCTGCTCTTTGCACGAGAGCCCTCGTCGTGGTCATGCAAACGCTACGGTCACGCTGGCCCAAGTTTGACGAACGCAACAGGAGGAGGGAGGGAGGAGGGAGGAGAAGGGAGCCGAGGTGTCGAGTGGAGGAGGAGGTAGGGAGGGAGGGAAGATGAAGGAGGAGGTGGAGGGGAGGGCGGAGGGAGGGGAGGGAGGAGGGAGATGGAGGGAGGGAGGGAGGGAGGAGGAGGGAGGAGGAGGAGGAAGGAGGAGGAAGAGGAGGTGGAAGGAGGGAGGGAGGAGGGAGTAGGAGAGAGGAGGGATGGGGAGGAGGAGGAGGGAGGAGAAGGAAGGGAGGAGGCAGGGGGGAAGGGGGGGGTCGCTGATAGCGCGGCCCCCCAGAGGCGGCGTGCTTCCTCCTGAGATCGGGGGGGGTCACGGTGAGCCCGCAGCAAAGGCCACTCTGGCGAAAAGCCGCCCCTGCGTGTAGTCAAATCGCCCCCTCCCGGGATCGCCCCCGGCCCGTGGCTCGGGGGCGGCCGGGAGGGGTGCGCCCAAGTGGGGGGGGGGCTCGCACATCGTGGCCCGGGGCACGCGGCACGGCCCAGGGGGAGGCCAGGGGGCCGCACCGAAACAAGATGCGGGGCCACGAACACGGAGGAGGAGAAGGGGAGGCCACGGGGACGCACAAGGACATACTAGCACCATGCGACCCCATCGGAGGCGTGCGCCCGACCCGAACAGATTGCCCATCCAGCTTGTAGTAAGCATCTCGTTTCCCGAGTGGTAAGGCCAGACAGCGCCCGCCGAGGAGCACACACTGTAAGATTTCTCGGAGCGCGCGTCGCCTCGCTGGGGACGACGCACGCGCAGAACGTCAATCGCCAATGAAACTCGCCGTCGCTCAGACGTCCATCCCAGTACATGATGTCGTGCGCTTATTGTTCACGCGATGATCCAAGATGTCCCTCGGGGGTCACCGCCGAGAGAAGCATGCGCACGCCCGAGCGATGCCAAGGGAATTCCGAGGAGGTGTCGTGGGCCCAGCTTTGAGGCCGCTGGGGGTTCGGAGCTGGCTGGGACCCCAGAAAATCGGTCAGGAGGGGGGATGACGACAGCTCCGCTCAAAATCGGTCCCCAGACCTACCCTGGCGTCCACCTGGCGCAACTTGCCAGCCCCGATCAGTTTCCGACGGGCCCAGTGCCCGAAAACGTCCCCTGGAGGCCAGAAGAGGCGAACACACCTTCTCAAGCCCAAACCCTCGGACCACTTCCCCCTCTGCCTGCTGGCTGGAACCAGTGGTGGCCCAGCCGACTCCAGGGCCTGGCCAAGAGATCCACCCCCTCTCTACAGTCAAGGCGTACAAGAATGACGCAAGATAAGAAGACGGCCTTGAAAGACCATGCCGCCACCTTTCGAGAGGTGCGCGGCCAGCTCAAGTGACCAACTATGAGATGACGGGAAGGGTGCAAGGGTAAAGTAAACGTGCTATCAGAAGCAACATCAAATAAGGAGCGTCGGGGCTTTTCTGGTTACGGCGAGCCTCAACCACGAGTAGATCTACGGAACGACCCGAAAATCAGATCCCCTCCCGAGCCGATTGGCCCTTCTTTCAGCATCTTGACTGTAACCTTGGAAAGTCGCTCCTCCTTTGTATGCAACCTGACTGTGGTCATCACGCCATCGCCCTCCTCTTGGGACGCCCCCCGGCCGTAGCGACAGCAGCCGCCGACGTCGCTGTCGTGGCCCGCGTCGTCGTCGTCGTCATCATCGTCATCGTCGTCGTCGTCCGCTGTCGCGATCGTCGTTGTCGTCGTCGTCGTCGTCCTCGTCCTCGTCGTCGTCGTCGTCGTCGTCGTCGTCGTCCGTCGTCGTCGTCGTCGTCGTCGTCGTCGTCGTCGTCGTCGTCGTCGTCGTCGTCGTCGTGGTCATCCTCGTCGCCGTCGTCGTCGCCCCCTCGTAAACGGCCCACAGTGGCGCCCGGACGACGGCGGCGGGGCAGAGGCGAGGGCGGGCCTGCTCGGCCTCCTCCTTCCGCTGCAGCTCCGCCTCGAGCCGTTGGCGCTCCTCCTCCTCGCGCTGCCTGGGCGACGGGGGGGGCGCGCGAGCGAGCGAGCGAGCGAGCGGCCCACAGGCAGCAGTTCCCTTCGGCCTCGGGGCACTCGGGCTCGGACTAAGCGGGATTAAGCCGGATTAAACGGGATTAAGCCGGATTAAGCGGGATTAAGCGGGATTAAGCCGGATAAAGCCGGATTTCAGGACCAGGGCAAAATCAGAATTTGACCTCCCAGGAGTTGCATCCGAAGTGGGAACGTGCGACCACACTCAGACGGAGCCAGAACGAGGATAACATCGGACGAGTCTTATAGAAATCAAGAATATCTGAGATCGCGCGGCTCTGGAGAATGCCTCGGGCGCCGCGGCCTTCTCAGAGCGTTCCAGAACGCTCTGGGAGCGCTCTGGAACGCTCTCGAACGGATTTGTCCTCGTCCTAGCCCTGTCCGATGAAACGGAGGAAGACAAGAGACGGCTACGCGTAAGAGTGACCGTTCGCCAGAGAACGTCCTCTGGTGCGGGGCCACGGAGGTCCTTCCGGCACCGGCAGGCGCGCCTGGATTCGTCCCCCCCGCAGCCCCCGAAAGCCGCGCACCAAAGGTCACTCTTGACGAGGGCCCCTCCTGCGCGTAGCCGAACAAGGGAGGAGACGCAGAGGCGACGGATGACAGATGCTGCTGGCGCTGCGGCCCGCGCGCGCGCGCCACGTCCCGCTGTAGGCTAATCCCTGCAGGGCAACACCCACACAGGCCCGCACGGCGGCCTCGAAGAGTCTCCTCCCCTCCTCCGATCGTCGCCCCCCCGCCGTCAGCCAGCCGTGTTCCCCAGCGGGGTCGCGGGCAGGCTCCCCTCGGTGGCGACGTGGATGCGACGAACGATCCAGCACGTTTAGGCACTCTGCTTCGCGTGTAGTTGAGCTCCTGAGCACATCTTGGATCATGGGTGTCCTCTTCTGATCGGTTATTCCTCCCTCTCCTCTTCTTCCCTCCTCCCCATTCTCCTCCCCTCTCCTCTTCCCCCCGTATCCCCCCTCCTCTCTCGCCCTCTCCTCTCCTCCTCCTCCCCTCCTCCAGGGAAGGGACGAGAGGGCGAGAGAGGAGGGTGGGGTGAGGGGGTAAGGGTAGGGGACGTGGAAGGATGGGGGGATCAATGAAGGGGCCCCAGGACACACAAATAAATACACACAAATAAAAATATGTTTCATGTTTTCCTATATTTTCTGGGTTTCTGTCTTCCCCCCACTTCCAATATTTTCCTAGATTTTCTCGGGAATCGACGATTCATTGTGTCTGTGTTTTTTCCCTGCTGCATCAAGGCGGGGCGAGGAAAGGAGGGGCAGCAGGGAGGTGGTGGACGGCAGAGCAGGGAGTGCAGGGAGGAGGGGAAGATGGGGCCGAACGCCACGCGTCAGCAACTATAGCTTTGACGGTATGATGCAACTCCTCCTCCTCCTCACGACCCTTTGTCTCCCGACCCCTTCCTTATCCAACGAATCCTCCCCCCGGTAACCCAATCCAATCCTCAGCTGCCCCCTCCCTTTCCTACATATACCCCCCCTCTCTCTTCCACCGCCCCCCCCCCCTTCCCCATCGCCATCGCATGCCCTCCTCCTGGTCCCTCCCCCCCACCCTTGGCCCAAACGTTTCGAAAATGCTGCAACATCGCGAAACATCAAAACAGGACCTGGGCCCCATCTCCCAACAATACTTCCCCAAACTTGCGACGACCTGATGTTTTCAATACGGACCCCCCAGAAAATCCGACCCTTTCCCCGGGGCTGGCTTTTCGTCCTGAGTCGTTGTTTTGATGGTCCCAAGGTCCGGCGGGGGCCCCCCGAGGCCGAAAATGGCGAAAGACCTGCCGTCGTGAATTTAACGACGCGACCATGTCTGGGTCTCAAACCAAATCGACTTGTGAGTTTCCTAGGGCCCGACTCGGACGGGTGGTTCACTGGGGAGTGACCCGCAAGGGGGGCGAAGGGAAGGGCCCCAATCTTGGGAGCCTTCGAGGGCCCCTTCTTTTCTTGGAGCCAGCATGGGCCCCAAAGGGCCCCTTCAGGACCCTTCTTTCCAGCCCCTTTTGAAAGACACCCCGCTGTCACCGAAGAGAAAGGCCAACATGCGGCAGGCGCTCCGTGGCCTTGCCGCATACTCCCCGGCCTTTGGCCGGGGGGTGCGTGGTCAGCCTGCTCAGATGCCGCCGCGGCAGTCTTGCACTGCCTGCGGGCGCCTTAGCTGAACCCCAGTCACCCCGCCCACTTGGAGGGACGCCGCGGTTAGCAATAACTGTTGGACACCATTGCTAGGTGATGAATAAGCGTTAGCTAACACTAGTATTAAGGCACGCTGCGGCAAGGCACTCGGTGAAATACGATGGGCTACCACGCGCTAAACAAGTTGGTTCGATAACGAGTTTAAGCTTTGGGCGGGGTTCGCGAAGGGTTAAACGTGGCCCAGTGAATGGGGTTTATTCAAGCTCGCTAAACGGATTACTACCCTCCCGAAGTGAAAGAAAAAACATCCCGACAGCCATCGATACACTGAGCGCCCACAATGGATCTCTATCCCTGCGGAACGGACAGGGCGGCAAAGTGATCACGAGGTCTGCGTGGTTAGCTACGTGAACAGGCGGGAAAGTTCTAAAACTGCGGCAACGTCACCTATCTGACAAGTATCATGCGGAGAACACCTGGTTTTCGCAGAGGTCAATGTGGACGATCACCGAAATCTTCGACCAAACATGGTTTTGTCTGTTTGGGTGGGACCTGGGGGAAATCAAACCTGATGATATATCTAGGCAACCCGCATTGTCGAACTCAGAGGATGATTTGCTCGCGACCTCTCGCAAAGCAGACGCGGTATCGCTGCGCTTGTCACTTGCGGATATCAATGTATCTCTGTGTTTCCGCTCACCAGCAAGAGCCCCCTGGAATGAACCCATACTTTGCCACGGCCTCCGGGTGATGCAACATTCCATGATGCTTCCATAGGTGTCGCCCCACCCCGAACGCTGCAACAGACGCTGCAAGCAACTTCTCAGCAGCTTGAGCCACTGCGGAGACGGAGACGTTCAGCCGTTCCCCGTACCAGAGAACAGACACGAACGTAGAATTGCAGAGAAACGCATTGCACTACAGCGTGTGCTTGCCTGTCGGCAAAACGACCGATCGGAGGTAGCATGCCGGGATTGCGCGCAAACTGAGACACTCCGACGACGATGCTCCCCAACATTGGGCCTCCCAAGATCCCTCCGCGCGTTTTTTGCAGAAATCGTCGGTGCCAGTCGCGGCTATATGAAAGCCCCATGGGCCGCTGCCACTTCCAAAAATCATGACTGCGAGCTGGCTTGATGCCTGACGTTGAGAGCGCGGCCACCACCAGGTACCACGATGTCTGGAACACCCCCTGGAGAATGTTGCGCCCCCTGTCAAAGCCAGTTCGGAGCTGCTGGATTCGCGATGCGGCGCAGCAACGGTTGCGCGAGGAGGCGGCGTTGCGAATGTGCGATGGCCATTCCCTGATCTTTGTCCTGAAAGTCACCTTCCCTCACGGTTGGCCCGGCAGCCACCGAATCATCAACGACGCCGAGAATTCTGCCCCGCGCATGCGTCGCGCGCGCTTTCAACGACCACGCTGCAATATATTATAAGGAGAATCGGTGGCCGAAGCAGTGGTGCTGCGAACCATTTGTCATTGCAGATGCTGCAACGCTCCGCGCGCGCCTGATCCCGCCGCTGCCTCTGCGTTGCCGCGCCCGACGCAATGCGCTCTCGCCCCCGAGGGCACAGCCGAGAATTGCACGGGGCCTCTCGCGAACACGGACGGGGCAGAGCGCGCGGCCACCGCCCCCCGGGCCCCCGGAGGAACCGAGCGAGACGCGCAGACCGAACGGCGCGATCCATAACGGGCCAGGCCGCCCCAACCCAGCGCGAACAACTGATGCGCCATCGCATCGCGCTGGCCCACGTGGGCCCCACTTGTGCAACCGAAACAACGTTCAAACACCACGTTCATCTTGGGGTTCGGACGGGCCCTTGCACTTCGCCCCCCCCCCCCCCCCCATTCAGCCGAATGGCTTCTCCGCCGCTCGCGTCGAGAGAAATGCCGGCCGCGCCGCGACCGTGGATGCCGAGCGTCATTTTGAGAATGCCCGCTATCAGTTGAGCCATTCCAACCTCGCTCGCGGCCACCTCCGCCCCCCTGACAGGTGCGATGCGAAGTCAGGGCGCTTCTTTAGGCAGGGCAGCGCTACTTAAGTTAATAAACGAAGCTTGCACATTCTGGTGTGCCCGCTTGTTGAGAGACTTAAGCCCGTTGCTAGGCTTGGCCTCGTCTGAGTAGATGAAAAACTTCCATTGTTTTGATGTCGAGCGCGAATCGCGATACTATGCTTATCGGATCAATTATGCAGTTGAATGGAGATGATAAGAATGGGGTTCGCAACCTCCACCTTAAAAAGGTCCCCTGTCGTGGGGGTCATCTGTACTCCTTGGATCAAATGCCCGCGCGGCGCGCCCACGTCGCGCGTTGAATGCCCGGCGTCGCGGAAGTCTGCTGGCCGAGACAATGCTGGAATATCACCTTGTTGTGCTTGCCGAAGAAAGCCGCCAGCGCCACCTGCAGTGCGCGCGGTGAGCCATACCTGAAGTCATGGCCTGGTAGGCCTGCTCATGGCCAGAGCTGCTGGAGTCAAAATGGGCCAAGGGTCCAACACAGACGGCGTCGTGAGCGAGATTGTCTCTCAAGGACAACGCGCAGAGGCGCGCGTGCAGTGCATGTTAACACGGGGGTCAATGGACCGATGGGAGTCATGATGCGATAATTTGTCCCGGATGACTCTTTGGTTTGTTCCAGCTGCGTTGTCGAGCTGATGTTGTCGGTCGCGCATGTCTCCCCACGTATTGGCCCCCATCCAATGGTTGGGTTGAAAGCAGCGCGCAACAGAGAAGGAAGAGGAAGAGGAGGAGGAGGAGAAGGAGGAGGGCCAGGGTGCGTCAGCGACGGGGGGCGCTCGGCACTCCAAATCATT